GTGTGTGTGTGTGGGGGGGGGGGGGGGGAGGAGCATTGACAATAATGAAGGAAAGTAAAAAAAGAATAAAAATATAAGTACGCCGTCGTTTTTTTTTTTCTTCTCTCTCTCCAGGTGTGTGTGTGTGTGTGTCTGTCCCCCCCCCCCTCGTCTCCACAGCGCCCTTCCAGAGGCGTCAAGTACGGCTCAAAAACCGGAGGCAAAATAAAAAAGGGGTTCTTCCGGGAGTGCGGTACGTCTACCACACCGCTTGAATTAACGCCGACCAGCAGCTGTTTGTTGGTTCTTTTTTTTCACCCCGTTTTCTCTTTTCCGTTAGCTTGCAGGCACTGCAGGAAGCACGCACAGCCAACAAAATACACACAAGTAAGAAGAAACCCAACCAAACTTTGGGCGGGAGAGAGGCACCTGCAGACGCAAAAAAAAAAAAACGGTACTTTCTGAAGGCAAACAATTAACCTCATTTCCACTTTCTTCTACTCGTCTTTACGAAACAAACGAACAAACAAACCACAGTGGGGTGTCTTCTCATAGGTACGCATCGAGAACCCCTAATGCCCTTTCGTACAACAAGTAATGCGTGACTCCACGCGGGAGCGAGTGAAGCAACGAGGAGTTCAAGCCCCGAAACATGCCGCGTACTCCCTCACGCTTCAAGGTAAGAAGGACGGAGCGGCGGACGTTGGTGTATTTGACCTCGCCCAGGTTCCAGCGTTGATCCTGCAGGCGAACCTTCAGAAACATGATGGGGTGCGACAACAACACCAAGATCAGCTTTGTTAGGGTGGAGCACACAAGTGTCTCAGGGACGCTCAAATCTCCCCCTTTTGCCGCCTGCCGCGAACGGGCTTGCAGCGTAATTCCCTTGAAGAAGTCGTACATGGGGTAGTTAAGTGCGTTGGGGAGGACAAGCGTCATTTGCAGCGACACCCCGCGCCACAGTGAGCGAAATCCAGTGGTTCTCACCACTTGGCGGAATCCACTTCGAAATGTGACGTACTTTCTCGACTGCGTTGCATCCTCAATCTGCATCCGCGTCTTTATTAACCAAATCGGTGACGTGAGAACAGTTGAGAATAGACTTGCCAGAAAGGAAATTCCAGCCCGGCCTAAAAAAGAGGACACATCTGCCGAACAACAAAGCGAGCGGTAGGTGTACATGTATATTCCCCAGGCGGTCACAGAGCCTAAGACAGCCACGTGGCAACCACGGAATAAAGCACGTGGCCCCTCCTCACGGTATATAGTGGCCAACGCCCTTCTGATGGAGTGATACGTCTGTCCATTGTGCTGTCGCTGAACCGTGCCGTCCTGCGACATGAATCGCACTCGAAGCATATCGAATGGATAAAAGATAAGCGTACTAGCGGCAGATGCCATTTGTGTGGATACTGTATGAGAGAGAGGAGAAGACTGCAAATCCGTTTTCCCGCTTCTCCCAGAGTCACTGGAAACAGCAACAGTGGCGGCGGTGGCGGTGGTCACATTCTGGATTGGGCTGCTAGCGTGTGAGCCATTTCGATACGCGGTGGACATCTGCCGCGAAGAAGCGGCGGCAGAGAGTACCTCTAACTACACCGCTAAAGACGACACCCTCGCAATAACAGCACAAGAAAAAAAGAGAAAAAGAAAGGAAGAATAGGCAAAGAAAAAAAAGTGACAAAAAAAAAAGACGCAGTTCATACCAACTCATTCTATACTGATATGTGTGTATGCACGCACATATTACGTATTTGTGTGTGTGGATGCCTGTGTGCGTGCATGGCGGTGCCGCAGAACGCATGGGAAGCACCACGGCGTTGTAAAACCGCACCACCAGAAAACGAACATAAGGCCAACTTTTCTTTATTTTGTTGCATGAAGTTCTGTTTCCTTTTTCTACTTGTGTTTTTGCTGTTGTTGTTTGTTTTTTTTTTTACTTTTTCTCCCTTCTTCTTTCGCTTGCGCTTCTCCTTTCTCCCTCACTTTCACCCACTTTCGCCTCCCCCATTCGATGGTTTGCATGCGTGTGTGCCAAGTCCCAGTAGCCGCGACGGCCCTGATCCGCTTCAAGACACGGCGAAAAGAACAAGTCTTCGCCGCCGCCAGTCGTCTTCGTCGTTACCACGGAAGTCGTGAGGGAGAGGGGGAAAAAAAGGCGACACCGTCCGTCGCCCACGGCGGCTCAACCAGAGGATGCCGAGAACTCTCCAGCCGGACCAGTCAAGAGGGCTGCAAAGCCCGGGATGGTTTCCTCCCGTAGGCGTCGTTCCTCCTCCATCTGCAGCCTGTTTTCCTCCTCCGCGCCCCACACCTGCACCTCGATGAGAAAATCGGCAAACCGACGGCGAAACTCCGCCTCGTCACGGTAAGATTCATAGGCTGAGGTCACGAACTCTGTTATGAGCGTCGGTGTGAGGGTGGGGATAATTGAAAGGTTTTCAAGCAGGAACTCCTGCACTGCACAACGGCCAAGCACTGGCGTCTGCGGAGGAAATATATCAGACACACTGAAAAGTTTGATAAGGATACTGCAATGCAAGTTGAAACCCGCAGCATGAAGAGAATCCATGGCCGCCACGAGTACTTCTACAAATATTTGATGCATGAAGGTGGTGAAGAAGTCCCCCATAAGTTTGGATTTGATAACATTCCCAAGAAAGGCATCCAAGGCCAGGAGCCCAGTTTCCATCGTCGCAAAATCCGTGTGTTTAATGACCCACAGCATGCCAGTGATGACATCCTCCTTTGTTGAGGCGTAGCTCAAAAATGCATCAAAGCAGTGTTTATTCAACGCCTGAAGGAGCTTAAAGAGATTCACACGGAACTCAGGGAAATCCTCCGTGTTTCTGCAGATCATTGCCACTGTGGTGTCAAATGTATGATCGAGAATGGCCGCGCAGTCTCCACTGAGGCGATCGGCCAACTTATTCACACACGCAGTCACCAGCGCCATCGCCCCAGGCTCCTTTGCTTCCGGCACCGAGTCCCGATAGTCCTCCAAGACCACAGTCAAGATGCTTGGCATACAATTTGCCGCTACAAAGTCGCGCGCTTCCGTGTTATCTACAAAGCGTTCAAAAATACGAAGTATCTCCTTCTTTGCCAGTCGCAAATACCGTGCATCCTGTTGCAGCATAGAAGCGGGCCCACCTTCGGCCACGAAGGCGCTCTGTGCGGCGAAGAATGCGCGGTAGAACCCATGGAGGTCCCAAATGATGATTCCCATTTCATTGATAAATGTTGTGCCACACGTGGAGGCAACGCTGCTGTACACGCGTAAGAGATGAATCAGTTCCATCATAATTGAGGAATCACGACAAAATAACGCCCCTTCAGCTGCTGCCCTTTCCGTTATTGCCTTAAAATTAATGTTAACATCCTGTAGGAATAGCTCCAAAAGAGCCGCCTGCCTGTCGGGGGAGTCATTCTTAATCATATACCCAGCCGCGGCAAAGCAGGTCTGTATCTGTTGCGGTTGTAGCATCGAGGTGACGTCGGTCCACCGCTCTGCAAGTTCGTCTGCTAGAGATTGTTTTCGGTTGTCCAGGGAAACAAACTGATCCGGCACCTGCGAGGCTATCTTGAGGAGTGTGTCGACCGCCATTTCCTGCACCCCAGGAAACATCTCCTTCATGAATTCAATAATCTTGCGAACAACCGTTCTCAGAAAGTTGGGATGCGTGCGAAGGAAACGTGGATAGCGTCCTACAACAAACATAATGTTACTGGCGATGACAGCGCGATTCTCCTTCCCTTGCATTTCCTTGCAAAGATCAAGCAGTCCACGGATAATCACTACAAAAAGCGTGGACTCGTGTGCGGCCGGTAGCGCCATAGAGACCGCCCCCACAGCCCAGGACAACGTGCTGCAGTTGTGCCAGCTCCACTCACTGCGATCCAGTTGCTTTTGCATCAGCCCTGTCATGATCTGTTGTGTGTCGTGCGGGTCAATATTAGTGAGAAACACTAATGTTTCCCGCATTAAGTTGTACAGCTGCAGCCCCTCCACATCTGTCATGTGTTCACGACGCAGTTCACCCTCGTCCTCCACAATAATGACTTCCTCTGGTTTGGCCATCTTTTTAATAAGCACAAATCGCACGTTACTGAGTATGCCGGAGAGTTTCTTATGCAGTGGCGTGAGTGAGGGACTCCGTAGCAGTTTTTCACCAAGCCACCACCAGTACTCTATGCAAGACTTGAAGAGTTCCTTGTTATCAATGTGGCTCATCCCCACCAGCATTTGGTGGGTGGAGAGTAACAAAATATCATCGTATATGATTAGCTGCGAATACCGCTTTAAAAAGGCAATTAGGAGGATGTTCACGTCGCTTATAAACCTGCAGTCCGCATCGGACCCCATTTCATACATCTGCACGACTCGAGCCTCCACGGACGAATGGGAGGTTGGAAGAGCGTTTATGATGTTATTAAATGCTGTGCGAAACACACGAACCGTTATCTGTGCCTGCGCGTCCCCCACCGCACCGTCGTCTGTGCCTATGGAACAAATCACAGAAAGGCAGCGCACTGCCACGGGGGCCACGGAGGCCTCCCCAACAACCAGGCTGGCAATGTACATGAGAACTTCCTCGTTAAACACCAGTGTTGGTTCCATCCACGCCAGATACTTTTCCATGCATTCCAAATCCGTCTTCAGCAACGCCTGATCTGCTGTTCCGAGCACGGATAGACACAGCTGCAAAATCAGGCGAAAGTCGCTTTTCAAAGCCTCCTTCTTTCGTTTGATCCACCGTGACGTCAGGGTCTTTTCACCAAACTCAAAGATATCCTCCCCGACAAGGCGCAGTAAGTTTAAATTATTTTCTACAAGTGGCTCAGTTGGACCCGCGCTAGAACAAATGTCGTGAATAAAGCTGGGCCACCGCACCGGCCATTCCCGCTTTGCAATGCTGACCAATGTACCGTTTATCTTGGTGAGGAGAGTCTTGCAACTACGAAGCTGACTGAAACTCTTGCATTCAGCGACGATTAAGTTTATCACGAAGCTACGAAGCTCCTCCTTCTGCTCACTTGTAAAGGTGTTCCACTGGTGCAGGATGGTGTCATCCAGGACCTGCAAGGCAAAAAAGCGTGTGGTGGAGTTCTGTGACTTTGTCAGTAGCGTCCCAACCTGAAGGAAGGCGTCAGGCCTCTCCTTGAAGGAGGTGAGCACCTCCTGCGCCTTCATGATCTCCTGCGGTGAACCGCTTGAGAGGTACTGCACCACCCGGTCAAACTCCTGCACATCCACGGGCCTACTAGTGTCCAAGATGGACTCCATTAGCTTCTCTGCTTGCACTTGCCCAGCAAAAAAAAAAAAAGACAAACACAAACGACAATATTAACGTATGGCAGAGACAACACCCACTTTGAACTCCGCCATCTCTCTGCGTCTACCATAACCACATCGCACACGGCGTTGAACTCAAGCAGAAACACCCTGAAGGCAGTCGTAGGGAAGGCAAGAAGCAACTTCCCCCTCAAAGGTGCCCTGTAGAGTAAGTGCGATTTACACACACACACACACATGTGTGTGTGAATATGTATTGGCTTATATTGTAACTGCATTGAGCAAATCGTTGAATGATGCACTTGACATATATGTATCTATATATGTATATGTGATGCATCAACCTACATGATAAACATAGAAAAATGAGCTTCAGTTGCCTGCTCGGTTGAGGCCCCTTCGTTCCCCACCCACAACTGCAAGAACGCTGATCCATTTTTTTTTTAGCAGGCTCTTTTACACACGCAGCATAACAGAGGCTGCCAATGCATGCAACCACCTTAAAAGGAGGCAGGAGCTAGAAGCTACTTCATAACGAAGAAATAACAATAACAACAACAACAACAAAAAAAACTTCTTCATTTGAGATAACTTTAGCGTAAGTAACTTTCAGTTTTTTTTTATTTTCCTTATACCTCCTCTCTGTTTCATTCCTTTTTTCCTCGCGTTTTTCCAGTTTCCTTT